AGCATGGTGCTGACAACACCAAGCCAAGGGTTAAGATCCCCTTACCGGTCATCTTTATTTTTAAAATATAAAAATAATAAGGGTTTTTTTTTGTTTTTTTTTTAAAGGAGCTAGCAGAAATGGAATTGGGGGAATGTTCACTTTTTAAAATTTGCCCTGTAGTCAATAATCTTCCTCCTTATGGAATAATGTACAAAGCTTATTCAATATTGGGTAGGTTAAGTATCACCTTTTAAAAAATAAAAAAAGACATACTTGATTTATACAAAATATTAGGGTGCAAGTTTAGAATTTCTTTATCCCCTAACCAATACAAGTATTATATACGTCTACTTTCATCAGCTTACTAAAACGAAAATTTTATCTCAGTAAAAAAGTGACTTCAATATTTTCTTTCATTTACCAAGTTTTGCCAGTAGATTTATGGACACATTAAAATTACATAATTCTCACAATGTACTTGTCTGAGTCATAGAACTACAAAGACATCAAGGAACTACATCTAAAGTTAGATATCTATATCACCTTCAACAAATTATGCCACTATTAGTAAACTCCTCCCACCCCCCAGTACTTGAGCAGATAAGAGCCTATTTCAATTATATTTATTTCAATTATCACCATTAGAATTAGGACAAGCAGCTTCAAGAGATTTCAGTATACTGGGGGATGGTGGGTGCAACAGAAAACAGATCTCCAGTTAAGGAGTCATAAAATGTGCAACTGCTGAGTAGGTTATAAAATACTCCAATAGAATAAATATTTTGTCATGGAAACAACAAAATTCTTTTTTAAAATATTAAAATCATTTTCTATAATTCAGTTGTAGTAAAAAGCATATGTTCTAATTAAACAGGTTAAAATTTGGAATTCATTTAATGCATATTTTTTTCTTTATGCTTCCAAGAATAAAAACCACATAAAAACCATCCCAGGTTTGTTAAATGATATACTGTATGTTAACTGTTAATGTTCAAAGGAAAGTGTTATCTGGATAGAATGGGGACTCAAATACAAGAAGGAACAAAGTAACCCATATTTATGTTTTGGCCTGTATTCCAATTCTCTCTTTACTCCCTACAACAAACACACATACATACAACTTTTCTCATCAAATAAGTTTTAGATGGAAACAAATGTGGATAATCTTCATGTGTGTACACTGCATAAAACACTGTTCAGTAAGGCTGAAAATGAACCTCAAAATAATCATTCTAAAACCACAGTTTAACATACTAATAACTTTACCATATGACCCAATTTCAGTTTGGCTACCTGAAAACTAGTAATCTATCCATGCTGACAGGTCTGTAACACCAGAACTCTTTTATTATCCTTTTATCAAATGTGTAGTCTATACCCACAGCACACAAGCACACACAGACATACCACCTTCCCACTCTTCACAGGGCTCTACATTAACATTTGCTCTAATGTGGTGAGTCTTGAAAACATTAAAAAATCACAAGCATTTTCAGATCATCTTTCAACCTTAACATTCAATGTTTAAGTACGGGATTAAGAATGCAGATTTCGGAATCCAGTGGCATTTCCAATGATTAAACTTATCCTTGAGGTTAAATTTAATAGTTTGAGGAGAAAATAACCAGAAAGATTTTCCTAGAAGTGAAGGTGGAAAATTTGAATGAAACATTTCATGCCTCCAAATCAAGAACATCAAATTTTGTCAATTTACTAAAGTTCAATATAGTAATACAAGCTTTACTGAGGCTGTTAAATATTGTTACACAAAGTAAACTACATTTAAGATTGCATATCAAATACTTTTTGTTCATTAACACCACAGTCAAACGTGAATATTAATATAGAGCCTTCTCTGCCAAAAGAGTATAAAAATCCTAAGTTTAATTAAATTTAGGGGCCTTCACCAAACTTGCTGCAAGTTTGGGGACATAAATATCCAACAGCCATAAAGCTGTGAAAGCCCCTGTAAGGAATAAAATAAATCCCACTTGCCTCAGACTGAACAGGGCAACACTGAGACTCAGCCTCAGCCTGTCCTATGGCAGGGCTATAGGAAGAAGAAAATTTTAATTTTAGAAAAACATTACCCAATTAATTTAAAAGACATGCATTAAAATCTTAAAAAAAAAAAATCCCAATGATCAAGCAAGCAAATGAAAAAGAGCAGCTTTTTTAAAAAAAACCCAAAAACTATTGTCATTTTAGAAAAACATTACCCAATTAATTTAAAAGACATGCATTAAAATCTTAAAAAAAAAAATCCCAATGATCAAGCAAGCAAATGAAAAAGAGCAGCTTTTTTAAAAAAAAAACAAAAACTATTGTTTACTACAATTCCATTCTGAGACTATACTTATTTCTGTTGGGGATCCTTTCCAACCCAAAATAACTAGGTTTATAGTTAAGCTGAGTTTAAGTTCAATATGTAACTTGATCCATGGAATAGGAGGGCACTAAGAGTATTTTCCCCATACCTAATGGCAAATGTATGAGAGATTACTAAAATACCAAGTATTCAAATTGATAATTCCAGCAGCCACTCAAATGTTGATCCTAACCTGCTGGCCTTGATAGTGTCACACAGAAGTAAAACTTATACAATAGAAACTAGTGCCAGACAAAATTTTTGTTTTTGTTTTTCTAAAATGAGTGATATAAGAAGAGTGGATATAAGGTAGAGCCAAAGCTGCCAGTCCTATTAATCTTACAGCTTCCTCAATTATGGCAATTACAATGCCTGCCTGAATATATCAAGTCCCAAAAATTGTCTTCTGGATGGTAATTGAAATTCACTTTGACTCAACTTCATCTATTACTTAAGGAAGCATAAGTCAAAGAAAGAGTTAATTATTTCAACATAATTTGTTCCACTCATGATTCAACCACACTATGGACCCCAGAAGCAGTTAGGTAAAAGGTATTTTCTAGAAGCTTAATTACGCTTGGATGCATGCAAAAATACTGAATGGCCATCATTTATGGGTCATACAGCTACAAAACATAGGAACTCATGTGCTTAAGTTTGTTTTAAGTGCCAAAACACACCACTTTCAATTAATTTTTAAGTGGAATTCTATGACTTACTTTTAAGTTATATTTTCTCCCTCCAGACCTCAGAGAAAAAGAAACCTTGCTATACTGTTTTTCCTTGCATAAAATGCAAATAAAGTTTTGGATAGTATTTGAAACAGGTCTACTAACCCTTTGCAGTTTGCTGATAAACCTGTACATGAAATTCTTCAGACACATTTGGTTTGGGAGAGCACCTCCTATTTAATCATTCTAAATTTAATCATGTCATTTCAAAAGATTTTCAACATAGATTTTTCTTTGGCAGTATGGTAAATTTGCTGCCTAACCTAAGAAGTATATGCTAATTCCAAAATGATTTGTAGTCAGATGTTCAGTGGGGGAAAGGGTGTGGAACTTGGCTGCTGACAGAAGAAAGAAATGTATTCTTGGTGACACATATGGATGTTTTCTTTTCAAACTATGGAATTTCTGCACCTCTATGGTACCACAGCACAGAAGCTATAAAATCACTGGAGCAGAATATCAGCTTTAAAACAGCATTCAGATTTAGAATACTTGCAATGTTTTCTTTAAATAAATGACTTTTACCTGTCACATAAATACAGATTCTTTTGTGATGGTTAAAACATTTTGCAATATATTTTCCTACAGAGTTAAAAGTTTTTTTCCTTACAACTTCAGATGTCATGTCTTTTATCTGTACCTTCACATAAAAGTTATAAAGAAAAGTTACCATTTTCTAATTTTATATTGAGAAAAAACTCAAGTTCATTATATTTAATAGTTACTTTGTATAGTCATTTGATACTTAATCATAAAACTACCCTGCAAAAGAAAAGATCAGAAAAACGGATGCCAAAAAAGGTCAACAAAAGCTCTTATTTTAAGAGACTTGCAACACAAAATACTAAATAATAGCAGTTATCTCTACAAAAAAGTTCTCTATAGAAACACAACATTTAAAATTTCCAAGGATGAAACATTTAACAGTAAGGCCATCTAAGCTTAATAACAGAAGGTACCCATGTAATCAAATGAATAATATAAATTTCCAGGAAATAATAAAATTAAAAATTGCCATTTCACCTGTTGACCATCCTAATAGAGGCACATTTAGATTCTCAGCATTTCACTTAGAGTAATATATACCAACCTATTAACAGAACTGAATAATATAAATTTCCAGGAAATAATAAAATTAAAAATTGCCATTTCACCTGTTGACCATTCTAATAGAGGCACATTTAGATTCTCAGCATTTCACTTAGAGTAATATATACCAACCTATTAACAGAACAAGAAGCTACTACTGCATGCACCTAAGCTTCTAGAAGTTTGCACCTAAAAAGCTTCTGAGGTCCATGCAGTACTGAAGTCTCAAAAATAATCAGAAGGAAATAAATGGGTCTGGCACTAGACTCTAAATATCTCAGCAGGAAGGAAAAAGAATTAACGTTTACATTTTATGTATCTTCGACATTTGACATGTACTGACACAAAACAGGTTGGAAAGATGACATAAAGATTTCATACCCATTATGTAATGACTCATATGTATCTAAGTTTTTCTGTTAACTGAAACATTAACATACAATTCTATATATATATCATTCAGTTTTAAACATGCAGCTAAGGAACAACCTACAACTTGAAGACAGAATCCAGTGATATATCAAAACTGCATTGATAACTGAATTTTATTATGTGGACATCTACCGTGGCATGCGTCTGGTACAAACCTTTCAGGCAGTGGTCCACAGCTGGATTATGAATGAAAAGGCATAAATTTTTCTCTCATTTTATTACAATGAAGTTTAACAGTACAGAAAATTCACATGACCTTGGTGGGTCAGATTTTTAAACCCTGCAACATGAGGACTCTAAATACATTAAATAGTGTTACACATTCAGACTTCCAATGTACAGGTAATTGGAAACAGTTACAGCCCTCACCAAGCTAGGTTGGGGACATAAAGTCCAACAGCATCTGAAATGCTGTGAAGGCATAACTTTACAAATAGCAATGTAAGCTTGCAGGACTTGCCTTTATTAAGGTGGTATGTTCATGTAATTCCAGCGCCTTCACAATTTAACGAACCAAATTTACTATACTTCACTTCTAAAAACCTAGATGAAACATGAAAAAGAAGCCATACAGTATAAATTGCAACTTCAGGAAAAGTTCCTGCTTTATTAATCCAAATAATTTTTCCCATGTAAAATAAATGTCCAATAGTTCCTGGTATGTGGGAAGATAATGTTTGTTAAAGTCACAATGAAGCCTTATTGACGGAAGCTTGGCTATATAAACAGCACAAGTTGAGAAAAGGTTTAATCTCCAAACCTATTAGACTGGATGAAGTAAGATCAGTAACGGCCACCTTGCGACATTACAGGAGGTCTCATTCCCATCGGAGGTCGAGGAGGCCCACCTTGGTAAGGGGGCACCATTGGCGGTCCCTGCCCATATGGTGGCATAGCACCAGGAAGGTAACCTGGCATGCCTTGATGATGACCACCATACTGACCTAAAAAACACATTTAAAACACAAACAATAGATTGAGTTGGTCTATGCATTCTATTTTTAAATGCAATGTACTTTGCAGATAAATTTAACATTTTGTGTGTATACACTCAGAAAATCCACTAAATACAACAAACGTAAGAAGACAAATACCATGAGGTGGCATTGGGGGTCTCATTCCTTGTTGCTGCGGGATGCCTGGCTGTGGTGGCATCATACCTCCAATTGGTCCAACCGGTGGATTACCAATAGGGGCCTGTCCTGGTCGAGGAAGATTACGTTGATATTTAGGTAACTGTGCCCTTCTCTCTTCCTGTGAATAAAAATAAGCACAATGTTAAATATCTGTATGCAAAGAGGTTCATCAGGCACAGAAACAAGCACCGAAAATCTTATTTATAGAGTTAATTATTTTTAAAATATTTACCTTTATACTCCCCAACTAATTGCTTTTGCCCCACATAACTGGTCCAACTACTTAAAATCTCCATGCCTTAAACTTCACCTATTTTCATACTTGAAGCATGGCGAACAGCTTTCCAAGAATTATAAATTGCTTCAGCAAGAAACTGTCCAGTGAAGACGTACTATTATCAAAATCCTAAATATTTACTTTATACCTAAATAAATTCCTTTCTATGGGCTTCAAGTGACCTACAGATTCTACCTCACACTTTTAACTATTTCTTCATTTAATATATGCAAATTTGTCTAACTGAAATGATTTTTAACAGAGTAAGAACCCAACTTACTGTCTTCTTTTTAGAAATAGTCTGAAAGGAGGGGAGGGAAAGCATCTAAGATCAAAACATGCAACATCCACTCATTGTTTACTGTATGCTGTGGTTTCTTAAAAATCAGAATGGTAAAAACCTCTTAATAAGCATTAAATCAGATCACAGATAATCTGAATTCAAATGGACAAGTTGCTACAACAGTTTTCAATCAAATGCTGCTAGCAAAAAACTGAAAACAACTTACCAGTGATATATCCTCATCTGGATGGATCAACTTACTGGTTGCACTGGTTGTTGTAAGTGTAGCAGGCTTACTTGTTATTGAAGCCGCTGGTTTAGCTGCAGTACTATTTGTTGTACTAGTGGTTGAAGCGGTAGACTGTGTATAAGCAGGGAATGTAGGCTTTGGGGGTTCTGTAGTTGTTGCAGGGGTGCTATTTAAGGGCTTGAAATCTGTACCAACAGGTCCTTGGACAGCTGCCTGAGCCTGTAAAACACATTCCTTCATCAACTAAACTTCAAAACCCAAAATTGAGTACATTTATGAGCAATTTAACTTAAAAACAAGACACCAACATTAAATAAAGAATCAAACTTTAAGTGAAATTAAAAGAAAGTAATATACGATAAACACTCCACAAAATTCAAGAAAATCTGTAAGAATATCAGAAGAGGCTAGGCTAAAGTCACATCCAAAACACAGCAATAGAAACAAGGTAAGTAAGACTGTATATGTAACTTCCCAGATTTCTACCTCCTCACCAAAAATTTAATTTACAATGCTTTGCATTTATTTCAGATTGGTGAAATATAGTATCACATAACAGAACAGCATGTATTCTGTTTTTACTGTTCTAAATTAGTCGTTTAATCTATCAAGCAGCCCAGAAAAAATAGTTAGAAACTATAGAACGTGAGTTTGAATAAACTCCAGTTACTAAGTATAGGATGAACAATTAGTATCAATGATGACACATTAAAGATATGTACTTTAGAAGTATTCTTTACACAGTAACACAATCCCCTCTGAATTAGCAATGGTTGGATGATTACCATGGACAAAAGGGTTAATTTTAGCAGGATCTTCTAAGTAAAAAGTTACCAGTAACAAAGTGTTACTCTTCATAATACTAAACATCTAAAACATGTAAACTAGGCCAACTTTAGAACCAAATGCAGAGTACTAAATTTCTTTACATTAAATGTGATGCATTAAACAGCATAAATCAAAATAGCTTAATCATGCATCCGGCTAACCATTGGCCACTATAATGCATTTACTGCTTACATGCTTTTAACCCTTTAGAACCATAGGAGTTTAGGGTGCTTTTTTTTTTGTTAGTTTGAATTCAAATTTTCAAATGCCATTTCATTTAGATACCATTAATTTTAATTTTAAAAAATTAAACATAATATATTTTGGGGAAGATTTAGTTCTTAAGGAGGGTCCAAAGGGTTAAGTTATAAAGCCATTTTAACAATTTTAAACTGCAACTTCCTGCGTACTTGTGCTGTGCTAGGAAACAGAGCTTTAGAAGATGCAGACAGACTTTCTGAATTGGATGAAGCTGTACTTGAGCTTGTTACAGGTGTCCCCATCTGTAGCATAAAAGAAAGGAAACAATGAAAAGTCTCCAAACAAATGGGTGAAAAATAAGCCACGTGGTAGACTTTTTAGTATAGATTGCATTTTTGTAAACGCAAAATTTAATGCAATCAGATGTCATTTATTTAAAGAGGAAGGCAGTTAATGCATTTACAATCAACAAAGTGAAAGTACAAGCCTCAAAAAAAATGTTTTTAATTCTACACCAATAAACCTAGTTAACTGTAGTTTCTTTCCTAAAACTAATGTGTTTTGAATTGTGATATTTCAAGAATGACACCTTAAACTGAGAATTAAGGATGCATTAATATTGACACTCCAATCCAATTCTGTATATCAATGACCCTACACAAAAAGATTTTTGCCACAAGTTTAACATCTCTCATTAAACAAAACCCCCACCCACTGAAAAAGCGTGTTAATGTCCTTAAGACACTGAATGCTCTGAATTCAGTACCTACATTTTTTTAAAAAACTGAAAAAAAAATCATCTAAGGGATAACCTAAAATAAAAAAATAAAAGAATGAAAATACATCCTAGTCTTAATTCTGAATAAATTAAATACATCTGCTTAATTCTGAATGAAGCTGAAAAAAGCAAAGGCTTCAACTGTTATTTGCATAGCATATGTAACAGAAATATCTTTCACTTATGTTTTGGAATAAGTTTTGGAAAAGACAAGACCAATAGGAAATACAAGTGTGACTGACTAGGTCAAAAGCCACTAACTGATGCCCTTCCACCAAGTGCAGCAGTGTAGTTTATCACTGCTCTAATCTAGAGAATGAGCCCAACAAATGATTTGCTAAGATCTTAAGGACTTTAATCTTTGGCTTTGGTCTCATTCCATTCATAGTTTAATAAGTAAAGGAGGATCGCTAAACATACCATGATTTAAGTCCCCCAAAATTGAACTTTCATTTCTAACTAAAGCTAAGAATAAAGAGTCCACAGATATGTAAAAATAACATACTATCTGGCTCCACTCAACTTTTTATGAGTAGAGGAAATCAATGTATGTAAACATGGAAAAGGATACGCTACTTTTTAGTATATTTAATAAATAATATCAAAAATATTATAAACAAAAAATTGACCTATGACAATTTCAAAGATTTCTGTAAACAACTGCACTTTACCTTTAATATAAGTGTAATCCTTTTTAGGAATTTCACCTTACCTGTCCAGCACTGGGGAAAAGAGGCTTAGTAACTGGAGGCTGTGGAGCAGGTACTGCTGCTGTTGGTGCAGGTGGCCTATTAAGAATACCTGGAGCTGAAACAGCCTGTGCTTGAGTCATTGGAGGAATTCCAGGACGTGGAACAGGAGGGGGCATACCTATAGAGAAGAACCATTGGAGAGGACTCAATTGTTGAAACACTTAGTTTGGAAAAAAATGCTTATGTACTACAAAGTTCCTAACTATTAACTGATTGCTGAACAACTCAAAGAAATCCAAGGAACTTAGGCATTTGCTCCTTGCAACAATCTTGCCTCACACTTTTCCCTTCCTTTGCACTAGACCCTGCACATGAGCAAAACAGCAATTAAGCTTACTGATATTATTTAACAAACTTCTTGAAACATGTTAAGAAAATTATTTTAATCATCTACCAGATGTTTAAATGTTCCCTGAACTTTGATGACACACAATGTCACAACCCAAAAAATTTTTTCCAAAGTTATTCCTTCAAACACTCTAAATTTTCCTAGGGCTGGCTAGTTAGCTCAGTTGGTTAGAGAGTAACATTATAACACCAAGGTCAAGGGTTCATATCCCTGTACAGGCCAGCTGCCAATAAATAAATAAATACATTTTCCCAAAATGCATCACTAGTGCATTCTTTAAACTTCCTCAACGTAACTTAAAACTTTTACTGATTTCACATTACCAAATGAACACCGATTATTATTCTGCATTCCACTCAATGCTTAAATATATCTCAGATCATAACATATGTGGAGCTGTTTCCTATAAATGGCTGCACTGACACTACAGTGCTTTTCAGATTTTCTACTGCTTTATTTTCCCCATGTCTTTTCATACCAACTATCATTTTAGCACTTCTGAATATGATATGAATTGCAAACATGCTAGCACAAAAAGCAAGGCAACCAACTGAGAGCCTCGTGTGACACACTTATTTGGCTAACTAAACCTCTTTCTCCACACTGTGCCTCTGCTTTACAAGCTAAAGAGTCAATACACAGTACTTCATTTCCCAGGTTCCCTTGCAGCTAGGGAATCCATTATACCTACTTCTGGCCAAAGACATGTGAATGCCTAAAGAGCTTCTGGGAAAGTTATTTTGCTTCCTAATAAAAGGAAAAGGAAAGTTCATTGCTATTGACATCCCTTATCTGCCCCATCTTAGAACCACTGAGGACATTTCTGAGGAAGAAAAGATAAGGTTAGCAAAGAGGAAATTTTATAAAAGCATGGGTTCTGAGCCGAGCCCGTGGAGCACTCGGGAGAGTACGGCGCTGGGAGCACGGCAGCGCTCCCGCCGCAGGTTTGGATCCTATATAGGGATGACCGGTGCGCTCACAGCGCTTGGCTGAGCGCAGTGCGGCCGGTCTCAAAAAGGACAAAAATTAAATAAATAAATAAAAATAAAAGCATGGGTTCTTAATATCACCGAGCCACTGAATCTACTGCTTTTCTTTTCACTGAGTGAGATATATGCTTACCTTGATCTTTTTAAACACAGTTTGTTGGATATATCTATTACTTGCTAAAACACTCCTAATGAATACAACCTCTCTTAAGTATAAGAGTTTCAGCAGATAGGCTCTGACTCATTTTTGGCTACTTTGAAGCCTATTATTTTTACTATCTATTTCAAACCTCAAAAAGAAAAAAAGGGGGGGAGGGTCCATCATACACTTCTCACATTAATTTTAGAAGGAACTCGCCTACAGTAATTATAAAATTATGTTGCACCAATGTCCACAAATCTATTGCTTAGAAACACAGAAATAAAGCTTGCCGGTCATATTAAAAAGGAAATTGTCTAACATGTCATACCTGGTGGCATACCAGGCATCAGAGGTGGTATTCCTGGTCCAGGTGGCATCATTCCACCCATTGGCATCATTCTATTAGAGAGCAAATTTCAAGAAACAACTGAAGTTAATTAACAGCAAAAACCACTAAAAAATATTTTGGCTAAAGCCTGAAACACTAGATAAAAGACTTGAATTTGACCTCTATAATCTTGAAATCAATCAAGCTGAAAGAGCACACAACACACTAATAATCCTATCAAAACCTCTAAAACCCAGCAAACACCTGGGTTTACTATTAAAAGGGGGGAATACAAGTGACAAAACATGTAAAGTCATTGAGAACAAATATGCTCTCCTTAATATGTACAAGAGGCCTCATATAAAATGTGTAACTAGGAAGCAAAATCTCCTTTTGTTCACTTGGAAAATATACACACAGAACATAAATAAAAAAGAAGAAATCTCTATTTTGGAGTTGTCAGATTTTTTAAAGGGAAAATACTGAATGTATACTGTGGAGAAAGATTTTGTTTTGGAAGGGTGAGGAAAAACTACTACCAAAATTAAAGATAGTCAAAATTAAACTCAAATTGCCTAATTTATAATAGCTACCTAACACTAAACCATGTCTTAAAAACATAACCCATATTTATTTTCCTTCCCCTGAAAGAGCTCACCTTCAAATATCAGTGTCCAATTCACTTAAGAAATTACAAGTTTGTCAACTCTTAATTTAGGACTTTTATTAGAAGATCAACTTCTACATATTGATTTTATTAGAAGAAAATTCAATTACGTTCTATAATAATAAAGCACATAATTGGCAAAAACTATCCTTTCTTAAATTCTAACCCTTATTACCATGTTCCGTTACTTTTAGTAGTTGGGGGAAATAGCTGCACATTAAAAATGCTTTATTTATATAAGGGTTTATTAATATTTCCTCACAGATGTTTTATTTCCCTCCTTTAAGAGACTTGTGTCAAGCTTGCACATTTTAGAAGTTTTGGTGAGGAAGGTTAGAAAATTTCTGAAGTCAACTGAATAGATACCATTAAACACACACAAAAAAATGACATGATTATACCTCCTGAATTACATTATGAATGAGATGCTTACATGTTTTCACCGCAAAATGACTGGGTGTATTTTCTCTGATGATGCAATCTGTGAAAATGTATGACAAAATCAAAATCTAACTGTGATTTTCAAAATACAGTGGGAAAGTGTATTGTATACCTCACATCCAACAATATTTAAGTAAAAATGATGGGCATGAGCACCTCATACTCATTTTAGTTTTTGACGCTTTGACAAATAAATCACTTACAGAGTTTCTTTCTTGTCACAACTACAAAGTGTCACGGATAGTTCTGAATCTCAGAAACTCAAATCTATAACCAATTACTTTCATCACAGCAAATGCAATTCAAGCAGATGGCTGCCTACATACATCCTAAAACCCAACAATCTATTCTCTTCAGAGGCAAATTTATATTCCTTAAATTTATTGGGCAACCCCTGTATTAGACAAGTTTAAGATATATAGAGCCCACACCTTCTAGAAGCAAAAAATGCAAAGTAACATTTAATTCATATAACACCCAAGCTGAAAAAAGATCATTACTAGGCACAAGCCCATAAGGCAATTAAAAAGATTTCTTACCCAGGTGGCATGCCTGGCATAACTGGTGGCATTCCTGGCATTAGAGGAGGAACACCTGGCATTAATGGAGGTATGCCTACAAACAAGAATTTCAATGAAAAAAATCACAAGTTAATATTAAAAAGGAGGAAGAAAGTAATATTTTCATACCATACAAATAATATCCTAAGAACATTGAATTTTAAGAAACCTTATGTGCTACCTGGAGGCATTCCTGGTGCTCCTGGAACTGGTGGCAGTCCTGGCTGCGCCATTGGGGGGATATAACCTTGCTGAGGTTGAACAGGCTGTGGCTGAAATGAAGTTGAGGCTGCAGAGTCATCATCATCATATTCATCAGAATCATCTTGTTGCTTCTTTTTTTGACTCTCTGCTAAAAAAATTTTTAATTAATCTTTTCCATAGAGTCAAAAAGAAAAACTAAGTAAGTTTAGGACACTGAACATTTAAAAAAAAAAAAAATTCAGGGCCGGCCCGGTGGTGCACTGCTACAGTGCGCCGCTTGAGAGCGCAGCGGCGCTCCCGCCGAGGGTTCGGATCCCACATACAGACCGGTTCCCGCTCACTGGCTGAGCGAGGTGTGGGAGCAACACCAAGGGTTGCGATCCCGTTGCTGGTCCCAGTCCGGTATGGGCGCGACACTGAGGGTTGTGATCCGTTGCCGGACACGAAAAAAGACAAAAAAACGAAAAAAAAAAAAAAATTCAGTGAATGGTACAGAAATATATACAAAAATTTTTTTTTCAGTGCAATGAGTTCGTGAGATTTTTCTTCCAAAAAAATTCAATACCACTCTCTACTCTTCAAATGTATTTTCATTCTATATTAAGCAAGGTTAACATCTTTCCCTGTCATATGAAAGATAAAAATGGTTATCTTAAGTCAGTTTTATTTTTTAAAGTTTTCTATGGCACACCAAAAGGTAAACTATGACAGAGGTCTGACCTCTCTGAAAAGTTTTTCAAAACTGAAAGTTTCACAGGTGATTATTAATAGTTTCTACCATCTGGATAATACATGGCTTCAAATTCCAAGCCAAATAGCAGCACTAACAAACGAAATCTACTGTTAGTGGTTACATAAATCAAAACAAGCTACGCCTTCATTTTCAAAGCCTCAACACTTGCTAATTCCAATTGGAGTTTGATTATAAATAAAAATATGTAATAATAAAATGTTGGAATGATCCAAATGGAACTGCATTTACACAAATCAAGTATTTAACTTCATAGATATAAAAAAGAAAAACAGAACTCAAAATTCTGAATAAATCTATCACCTACCATTAAATTTATACTTGAAAATAGTAATACTCTCTCTAAAGTGAAAATGTATTACAAAAAAAAATACATCTTAATATTACCTTGTGTTTTCTGTTCAAGAAGTCGTCGTCTTTCATCCATGTCTTTTTCTGGAATACCTTCCATACCATATATTTCCAACTCTATGTCTGTTCTCCCAGGTATTGCATTTGGTACAGCATCTATTGTCTCTTTATGCACCTAAACTCACCCCCCCGACACACAAAAAAACTTCCATTAGATAGATAAGAGTCTTTAAAAGAGTAATTACAGGGGCTGTCCACTTAGCTCAGTCGGCTAGAGTGTGATGGTGATAACACCAACGTCTGGGGTTCCATCCCTGTACTGGCCATCCATCCCCACAAAAAATAATTAATTTAAAGGTGTTGGGAAGAAGAGAAAAACAACATGTTTTGCTTAAAATCCTCCCAGAATTAGATTTCTTAGAACACTGCCAAGCAATAGTAGTATGATCTTGGCTGAAAAAATAGGAGCACTAATGACGGCATGCTGGAAACCAAACCATCTAACTTACTAACGTCCTAGGGTTTATCATCTATAAAACTGGTATGATTTAACTGCCATGCCTGTATCACAGGTTGCTGTGAAAATAAAAACATTTAGTCAATTGAACATGTTACTGTTTATCAACTGATCTCTTTCCATTTTTCTGCTCTTCTCTAAAGTACAACTCTTAAAAAAGAGTGCCTCCACTTCCTCTCTCATTTTCTCTTCCAAGCATTCTAATCAAGCTTTCACCCTCCATCACTTTTGGAAATCACTCTTGTCAGATGACTAATGACCATCACCACTTCGATTAATCCAATCCCGTCCTCTTCTTGCTTAACCAACCACCAGCATTTTACTCGGTTAACTTCGTGAAACATTTCACTGGCTTCCAGAGCACTACTCTCTAGGTTTTCATACTCTTAACCTCCTTGGATGGTTCTAAAAGATTAAAAGATCTTTTGACCTCTAAATGCTGAGAGTGACCCAGGGCAGAGAGACTTAGCACCTCATTTTTATCCACACTATACCTAGGAAAGGATATCTAGTATCATAGTTTAAACTAGCCATCCTTATACTACCAAATTTCTATCTCCAGCTCCAACTTCTCAAACTCCAGACTTGTACTGTACATCAAACTGCTTAGGTAACATCTCCATCTGGATCTTCAATACACCTTCTCAAAATTAATAGAAAACTACCTTGTTGGCCTCATTCCTAAGCCTATTCTTCCTGCAGCTTTCCACATCTAAATATATGGTAACTCATTTTTCACACTGCTCAGACCAAACACCTTGATATCATCCTTAATTCCTCACTTTTCCTCATACCCCACATCTAATCTATCAGCCAATTCTAGTCTCTGTCATCATCACTACTTGCCTGGAATACTCCAAGTCTTCTAACCGGTCTCACAGTGCTCTGCAGTCTACTTCAACCCTGCAGCCAAAATGATCTTTAAAAAAAGTGTTCTGAGAGCATGTTATATTGCTATTCAAACTCCTCATTTCACTCAAAATTAAAGAAAATGGCCTATGATAGCCCACAAGCCCTCCTACATAGAGGAGCACAGTGCTGTCCTTTCCCTTTCCTTCATATAGGAGAATCTTCCTGATGTAAGAACCTTTCGTTTGCTGTACCCTGGAAACTCTCCCTCACTTCCTTTCAAATCTCTGCTCAGATGCCAGCTTCTCATTCAGGCCTTTCCTAACTATCTTGTGGCCATCCCTATGCCCCCTACCTAGTTTTCATTTTCTCTATCATTTATCACCATTAAGATAACAAATATTTACAACTGATTTTTCCTCCACAACATAAATTTAAACTCCATAATGGCAGACACTTTTTTATTCATTGCTATATAGTACCTAAAACAGTGTCTAGCACAGTGCTGTTCAATAGAAATTTTCTGTGATGAATGGAAACGTTCTATCTATATATGCATTATCCAATACAATAGTCATCCATTAGTCACGCATGGCTACTGAACAATGGAAATGTGGTTACAACGCAACTTAAGAACTGGATATTTAAACTTTCATATAATTTTAATTATTTAAATAATTGTCTTAAGTAATTATTTAAAATAATCTTTAAAACTAAAATTATTGGGCCGGCCCGGTGGCGCACTGGAGGGTTGCGATCCCATTGCCGGTCCCTGGTATGGGCGCGACACCGAGGGTTGCGATCCTGTACCGGTCAGTAAAAGACAGAAAGGAAAAAAAAAAAAAACTAAAATTACTTAATAATTTTTTTTGACCGGTAAGGGAATTATCTAATAATTTTAAATAATATTTAATAATTTTAATAGCCACATATAACTAGTGGATGCCACAGTGAACACTTGTGGTAGTTTCGCAAATATTTTTAAATGGATATCAAGTTGTTATAGTAAAGTAACTGGAGTGAAACGGATCTATTCAAATTTATTTTTAAACTTAGAGTAACAATGTCTCCCTACTTCCCACAAAAGTAATTTCCAGTGAATAAGGATTTGTTCATCTCTAAGGTATAATTTGGCAAAAATTCAGGCAGATCTAGGACTGACAAAGGTAGAAGAAATAATGTTGAATGAAACATACTTATTAGATCTTAAGAATATAAACTACAAAGCTCTCATTACCTAGTAGTGAAAGGACTCAAGAAACCTAGAAACTTTAAAGACGATGCTGCCATTCCAAAAGAGGTCCATGGAAAAAATTGTCAAAATAAGCTCAGCCTCAAGGTACAGATTATAACAAATAAATCCTTCAACAGCAGTGAGTAATGGCAGCTAATTATGTATTCTTATGGACAAACTGCCCACAAAATTTAAATCACTGATCTTTGTTAACTCTTACAAGTACTCAGGAGATATTGTGTGATTTCAACCTAATTGTCACCAAACTATCCTGGAATGAAAGATATTTTCAATAATTTAAAGATAAGTACAAATATAAACTCTCTTTAAACACAAAAGCTCAACTTGTTTAGCTTCTGGATGGCTCTAGAACAGATTTGGTTATTTTTTAAGCTGACTGGCTGTCTTATCAGCAGTAAACAAAAAAATCACAGTTGTCAAAGAGAAATTCAAGATTATTCTCTCATGTTCCCAAATTACAAGGAGACAAAAATTAAATACATAATAAAAATCCTTACCTGCATGCAATGAATAGCTAAACCAGGTCCTGTATACAATTTCTTATGACATATGTGGCATTTAAAATGCTTTGCTTTTTGGTGCTGTATGAGGATCTTTTCATCATCAAAATCTCTATTACAATACTTGATCAATATTGTTAAGGTGCAAAAACTGCAGAATAATAACACTGCCTATAATAAAACAATCTAACATAAGATGAGTGGGACAGGAAGGAGTTCGAATGTCAAGAAACCCCTAAGTTTACGTCAAGACAATTTCAAGACAGAATGAACTCATTCCATATATACAAAATAAAAATGTTCGAAACATTAGGAATATATCAATATTTAGATTCTAAGACTCACTTCACAGTGAATAATAACGGCACAATTGCGAAGGAACAATTCATAAAGTTGTTTCCAATTCCGTATGAATTTGTTGCAAAGTAATGTGTCTAAACTCACAGGAGTTACATCAATGAAACTGGAAATTCTTACCTCACTATTCAGATTTTTCTAAAAGCTCATTACAAAATTCGTAACCGCTTTCAACCTATTTTTTTTTTATTTTTTAGCTATTATAAATAAATGCAGCTCTCTAACAAACCGTTTCTAGATTAAATACAGTAAATAAAACCTACTTTAACTTTACGTTATATCTACGAATATATCTCCTTACGAATACCGGAAAAAGTACTAAAAAGATGCCGCAATTCATTGTTTTCTAATAAGATGGGCGTTTTTTAGTCCTATAAAGTTGGGAAATAGATACAAGAAACCCCACCCTGTGACAGAACGCTTCCTGAAGATTAAGGCGCCGAGTGAGACACGGAAGCAAGTTCTCCCCCACCCCCACAAAAAAGGGGGGGGTCCCAAACCAGGGTTGACTAACTTGAGTCTTTACTTAATTATCGATTCTACAAAAAACGGAAAAAGGGGGTTACAGACTCCAGAAGCTCTTTCCCAATCCTCCATAGAGTCAATCAGCTTATTACACTCGAAGAAAGCCCCTTTGTTGAATCGTCACCAAAACAACGGAATGTGACTGAATAGTCCTTAGGGAACACAGTCCTTGGTGGAGGGGTCCAGGCCGCCTCCCAGTCGCACCAAACAAGATCCTCCTGAGTCACGGAGTCTCACGACCCACAATCGCCAGAGCCTCTCGCCCTAGGGACCCCGTCTTCGAAGGAGCCTTCCCAAGTCCGATCCCAGCCACCAAGGCACCCACCCCGAGGCCTAGACCCCAGACGCTCCCCGCCATAGGCCAAATCCAGGGCGCCCAGGCCCCATTAACCGGCACCCCAGCTCGCCCTCGACTTTAAGCCAGCAAATAAGGATATCAGCACCACGGCTTCAGCTGCTTCTTCTTCTTGCGACCCATAACTTCACTCTGCCGACGAAGAAAAAGGGAGACAAAAAGCAGGAAAAACAAGGCGAAAAACACCTCACTTTCCCCACCCAACGGCTACAACCGCGTCCCACAGGAAACCGACACAAAATGGCCGACGCCCTCGTTAGCTTCTCCGCCTCCCGTCAGGCACTGCGACGGGAGGCGGGGCTTGGCGGGGAGGGTCACATGACGCAGACCTCCGCCCTGAGTGGGTGGAGATTCGGGGCCGCTGAGAGGCGGGCCCCCTTTTGTCGGTTTTAAAAGGCGCCGCCCCGGCAGGCCGCGGTTGCCGC